AGCTATTGCTGCACCATAACTCTTAATTTAAGTGATGAGACTTGTAATTCGATATATTGTAATGGTCCACGATGTTATTGTGAGAACTTTAACGATACAAGTAGATAGAAACATGCACATTCGACAAAAATTGCGACTGCGTGCTGGGTCCAAAAAAAAAACTGTGTAAATGAAGAAAGAGATCCGCACTGAGTGTTGGGAAGGTTACTTTTAAAATGTAATCCCCTACAGATTACAGATTACACACCCCAAAATGTAGTTTGTAACGTAATCCATTAAATTACTTAAAGTGAGTAACGTAATCTGATTACTTTGGATTACTTGATATTGTCATGTTTTTTTAAATGACATGAATGTAGCAACCACATCCTCAAAATTCTTGTTTGTTGTCTTCAAATTGTCTGAGCCCAAGTCTCCATGAATAAGCAACTGTTTACTGTAGAGAAACAAAGACCACGAGATCTTAATATAAGAGGTTTTGTCTGTTAAAAGACAGTAACAAGATAAGACTTTCCTTCACCATATTAAAAAATATTATTGATAGAGAAATTTATTTTTATATGAGATCACCTTAAATTATGTCAACCTACTGTTAGGTGTCATGTTGTTTAGACCTGGTTTAGTCCTGATTTTAGACCTGGTTTAGACCACATCTAGACCAGGTCTTTAGTTCTGGTTTAGTCGTGGTTTAGTCCTAGTTTAAACCTGGTTCAGTCCTGCTTTAGTCCTGGTTTAGTCCTGGTGTTAGTCCTGGTTTAGTCCTGGTTTAGAGGCGCACAGGAGGAAGTGCAGTTTACGCGAGAAAACACGTTCCACACGCGGCGCACGAGACGGCGGTGTCCGCGCTGTAACTACGGAAGGAGACGTGGTCCGCGGGTTCTCAGGTTGATGACGATGATGAAGGTGTTGTGTGTGTTTGTGTGTGTGTGTCCCCTCATGTCGCAGGTCAGTATAGGACAGTAGTGCAGATATTATGAGTCTATGCAGGTTGTTTTCACCAGTGCCAGTAGCTCCTGTTTCACATTTAAGTTGTAGGCGATTTTATATTTGTTTTTTTTATATATATCTCACATCGGGAGAAAAATTTCCAAGACACAAATACGTTTTTACCAATGCACTGCTGCTTCCACTGTGTGACTGACACCGCCAACTTTAACATGACGTTTCCATCGCTCTTATTGCGCGCGTTCTGTTTGGGCTTCAGGCAATGAGTGAAATTACCGAAATAAAAAAAAATAAATAAATGGGATGTAGCACAAAATGTGAAAACAGGAAAATACCGCCTTGTAATCCACTTATTTCAGCAAAGTAACTGTAATCCAATTACCACTCATTGAAACAGTAACTGTAACGGAATACAGTTACTCATAATTTGCACTCTGATTACGTAACGGCGGTACATGTAATCCGTTACTCCCCAACACTGTCCGCACTGTAGTTCAGAAGCTCCCAAAATGTGAACATTGTGTTGTCATTGAAAATAAAAATTTGAACATTGTGTTATAATTAAAATAAAAAAAACATTTGAACATTGTGGTGTCATTGAAATAAAAATGTGAACATTGTAGTGTCATTGAAATAAAAATTTGAGAGCTTGAAAGAACTGCAGTGCGGATGTTTATCTTCTTTTGACGATATCATGGTATTTCTGTTATTGTTACATCCTTATGTTTAACTCACAAACCCTGCATATTTTGAGTTCTTCTCTCAAACAGAAAACACTTCACTACAATTATTTGGATGATTTTCAGATCTGGAAATACCAATCTCTACTGAGCAAAAGATAAAAGGAGCTGTAAACTTGAAAACTACCACTATATGACATTACGAGGTGAAAAAGAGCATGATAACATTGAATCAATCTATATGTTGGTACAAGATTGTCACATAAAAATACTAAAAAAAAAAGCTTACTGTAATTTCCTATTGCCAGTTGTAAGAGAAACCAAGAGTTTACAGCTACCTAGAAGGGACAAACTTATATCTGCTGTGTAAAGTACGGTATTCAGCATGTTTTGTTAACTGTTATGGTGCATTCTATTGAACGTCTGTAGTCGATAAGTCAGAGTCATTTCTCCCGATATCCGTTGTAAATGCGTTCCATTGCAACAGTCAGGAAAATATGGATGCCCGAGAAAGTTTAATGTTATTTTGTTACTTGTGTAATTAACGTCAGGTATCGATAGCTCCTGCTAATAAATAGAGGCTGTTATTTAGTGTTAGTTGTTAGTGAATCAATTATGGCAGTTTGACAATTACACGTTCAGAAATCCATCCGACTCTAGCCCGAGTTCGTGTTTCAGAACCCTGATTTGACTGGCCATTCCATTACACTTTCTCGAGGTGGAAATCAGTTTTCCCAAGCCTGATTCATCGGCCAGTTTCACTTCGTGGAAACTGTCTGATCTCACAGCATTAGGATTCGTTCACTCAACGGTAGGCAGGTACTTTTTTTAAAATTTAACCAGTAGCTGCTGTTTGGTCATGACGTATGTAATGCCCCGCTAAAAGGACCAACTGGTATATTAAGTTTTTCCCAAATCCCGTAGGAAGAAGGGCAATAACGTCTTTTTTCTTGATAAAATTCACCAAACATTCTCTTTGTTCCGGCTTTAAATCCTCGATCTCGGGAATGGTTGCCAACACAAGAATGTATGACTCTTCGCTGATTGGCTGGTCCGGACTTTCACTTCCGGGGTTTTTGTAAACCGTCTAGTGTATTCTGATTCCTGACCTAGTCGCTGGAGAAAAATAAAATTGAGCGGAGGCACTAGGAGACACCCCCGAGTCCCGAGCACAATAGGGTACAGAATTAATGCTTGTAAAGTGTTTGAGATTGTAAAACTACCATGAAATGTCAACAAAACCAAAAAATGTTTTCATTCCCCATCAAGTACTCGTCTTAGCTGATTATGATAGTTAATTAAATGTGTCAGATTCGCTTCTAACATTTCCAACACTTGGACATGAAACTAGAAATCTATATTGTGCTTCACTGTAACTAAAAAATGTCCGTACAAACTCTATAGCTTTCTCTTCTAAACACATTATTTTATTACATTTCTGAATTCCAATTTTCCAGAGTGAATGGATTCTCTGACCTAATTTCATTCATGTGTTTTTTCCATTTCAAATCTTTGTCGGTGTCTTTCAAAACCCAAAGTTCGTGAACCTGGTTTTATCCCAACATCACAGAAAACCTGGGACCAGTCGCGCAGCAGTAAATGAGCCTATTCAAACTCCCAAATAGACTGTGACCTTTGACCTCCTTCGCCATTTCAATATGTGTCTGATCTGATCAAAGCCCACAGTGAAGAAGAGGAGTATCAGAGCAAAAGGGGATTAAGTGTAGCTCCAGATGGCTCCAGGGGGCAGTGTTGAGCGCAATCACTTCAATTCTATCTCATTTCTATCCATCACATCCTCCTCCAGTACTTCCACGACTCCACGTTTGTTTTTTTTTGTCTTTCTCTTGGCCTTCAGCGCTAACTTTGATCTAGAAAAATAGTTGCTTATAGGTGCTTCAAACCATACATGAATTACTATTTTTCAAGATCAAAGTTAGCGCTGAAGGCCAAGAGAGAGACCAACAAAACATTAAATTTAAATCAAATCCATACGTATCTATTAGGGATGTAATGATATCCAAATCTCTCAGGACGATATTATCACGATATGCATCTCACGGTATGATATTTATTGCGATATTTAGGAGAGGCTGATGTAATTTAATTAAGATAGGAGACTTTTTTGCTTTTAAAACCCCTTGACAAGATTTTTATGTGAATTATCTCCATCATAATCACAAGAATTCAAGTAAAAACATATTTCTTCATGTCTGTGCTGAAATGAATCATGGGATATGTAGTTCACGATGTTTATTAGCTGTTGGTACTAAAAAAACATGCATTTAAGCAAAGAAACTTGTAATTCGATATATTGTGACAGCCCACGATATTATTGTGAGACTTTTGACGATACAATATCACGATATTTTGGGTATTGTTGCATACCTAGGATCTATAAATCTACTTTTTTGTCTTTCTTTTGGCCTCCAACTCAAGCCTTGATCTAGAAAAATCATTCTCCAAAAATATAAAATTTGGTATGTCAAGTCATAAAATTAAAATTAAAATTAAAACTGGTTTCCCATGTGAAATTTAGTAAATACTGGTTGATTTTTTTTTTTTTTTATTTGTTGTATGTATGTACTATTTAAAGGTTCTATACTACACAAAACAGGTCATGTTATATTGTTGTTGCCTCCTCAAAATCATAGTTGTGAGTTGTGTTTTGTTTCATTCACACATGTTTGAGTAACACTTTATTATTAGTCTGTCTACATCTCCAAAGCTCAGAATGCTCTGTTTAACCTTGTGATGTCATGAAGTGGTAGTTTTCATGTTAAGCAGCTCCTTTTACTTTTGGTTCAGTAGAGATTGACAATTTCAAGTCTGAAATAATCCAAATGATTCTAGTGAAGGTTTATGGATCTTAAAAACACAATGGAGCACTTCCTGTTATAGTGTTTTCCTCTTGTGTTATATTTTGTATGATAAATGTGCATTTCAAATAGCTGATTATAAAATCTAACTTTCAAGATAAATGAGTTTCAGGGTTAAAGGTCACATGTTATAATTAATCGAGTCAACATTTACTTTGTCAACACTGCTGATAATTGGCATAGCTCTGCAAATGAATGAACATCCATCAGTATTCTCTAAATTACTCACAGAACTGCTCACATGAGTCAGTTTTGCGTAATATAGGACCTTTAAAGGTTGTTATAAAATATATTCTTTTTGCTGTTTAAGCTGCCAAAAAAGTGTTTTGTTTTCGTGTTGCGTTTGGTATAAAAAGGTGTCATCAAAACAAAGGCTTGGCTGAGTTTTTCACACGACAGCGGGCAGGTCCCACTGTTATGAGTATGGTAATGTGTGTGTGCGTGTGTGTGTATGTGTGTGTGTGTGTGTGTGTGTGTGAGGCGAGGATAGACTCACAGCTGGAGAAGACTAGAGGACAAGAGTGTTCGTCCATTGGGAAATTATGGAGCTGGAGCTGACATTCGGCGTTGATGGTCATCCTGCAGAAAACCAAAACAGACAAGAACAAAAAGAGGAGGACGAGGGTTAGAAAGATCCGGAAAAGGTTTATGAAAAGCCAGCACTGTGAAACTTTTCGATTGAGGGTCCATTATCTTCTTGTTTCTATGGAGATGTCATTACTCTGCTTAGAATGTGCCACAGAAAAACCTTACAGGATATTTTAGTGGTTTTATAGCTCAAAAATCCCATTTTGACTGTGAACAGGGTCGCCTCTCCACAGACCTGACTTGTAACATGGCCCGATTTTGTCTCCAAGAAGATAGAAAGGTTTATTGCCGTACAGTGAAACAAACAATAATATCTCCATGGACAAAAGCAAGATTTCTGTTGTAATATAAATATAGCAAGGTCATGAGCTGCCGATACGATACATACCTCAATACAATTTGATATTTCGATATTTTTGCACACCCCTAGTCTAGGGTCAAACTACGGCCCGGGGTTTAATCTTTTAAATCCGGCCCACCGAACTTGAATAATAGTAATAATAATAATAAATAATAATAATAATAATAATAATAATTTTCAGTGTTTTAAAAGTTATTTCTATAAATAGTAAATACCGTGGGACTTGAAAGACAGATATTTTGTTGTAATGCTTTGTAATGATTTTCAATGATGGGATATTTCAATAACATGGGATTTTTTTTTTCTCTCTTATGAGGTGGATTACCAAAAACTCCATCTATCTGCTCCTGGTCCGGCGCTTCCATCAAATTTTAGACCCCTTTGTGGCCCACGAGTCAAAAAGTTTACCCACCCCGGTCTAGTCAATAATACAGGTGATCAGGTTTTATATTTGGGAATTGACTATACCACTATTTCCTGGCAAAATACAATGTAATCAGGCTCTTGCCCCTCGTTTGGAAATATGACATCCTCACATTCTAGAGTCTGAAAACCACCAATATTTATAACCAACTATAACATGTTGAAAAGGTCTAAAAAGTCTCCCTATTTTATATTTTATTACTTATTTTTCTATTTTATTTTGAGTTGTACGTATACATTTACATTATGTCTTATTTGACTCTCTTTTTTTTGTCTCCTGCTGTCTTTTTTGCTACTCATTTAGAATGTATTATTACCATTTATATTTTTTCTCATATTATATTATATTGTGATTTGTGATCCTGCTGTGTCCCAATAATTTCCCTTGTGGATCAGTAAAGTGTGTCTAAGTCTAAGTCTAATTCGGCATAATAGGTTTAGGCTTTATAATTAATGGTGCATTATGTAACTTTTCTGATGCTTGTCTCCATGGAGATGCTATTGCTTTACCAGGAATTCCTCTGTATTGTATTAAAGTGATCGGTATCTCTATCTGTAGCTGTATCTATATCTAGACTCTCCACAGATCTGAGCTGTAACTTGGCCCCTGTTTGTTTACATAAAGATAAAAACTAATGTTGTATTGTGGAATATTACAGACAGAACTATTATATCTCCATGGAGACAAGCAGCTTCATCAGGAAAGTTATTGAAAGCTTCTGAAAAAGTGCTGCTTAAATCCATTTTTGTATTTTTATCTTGAATTTTCAGACTTTTTTTTTTTTCAACTATTTTTTTGTCTGTATTTGCTAACTTGCACATTTCGTCTCCATGGCAACTGGTGAACACCCCGCCAATCCACATAGCCTACATGTAGAACACCCCAGCGTATAAATAATGGTTGAAATACGTCTCCAAACTCATATTTTCAATTAATGTATTTGAGATTTCTTGTACAGCCTCCAAACTTCCTCTCCCTTTCTTTTTTTTTTTTTTTGCGGAACAGATGGTGCCTGCTCGCTCGACTATTTCGCTGATACTTCAAATCCCTCCAAATGACACAAGTATTTAATCATAAACGCCAACTGTCTGTCTTTTTATACACAATATTAACTTATAGGTCAGTCTGGATCTGTGTACTTTACTGCTCGTACTAATACTAATGCTTGTCTTACTGCAGATATCACAACTGCTGTTATAACTTATCAGACTACTGCAGTTAATTACTCTGGCTGATACTACCTACTAATATTTGTACTATCCTGCTGGTACTAGTGGTACTGTTAGTGGTACTGGGTAGATAGATACATTACTTCGAATACTACTGCAACTACTACTGCTGCTAATGGTGGGATTATTGCTACTAGTTTTACTGGGAAGATACTGTTACTTCTAATACTACTTGTACTATAACTCATAGTACCTACTACAACCACTACTACTACTACTGCTGCTACTACTGCTGCTACTATTTCAACAACTACTGGTGCTATTATTGCTACTAGTGGTACTGGGTAGATACTATTACTTCTAATACTACTTATACTGTCACTCACACTCACTATCACTATAACTCCTAGTAACTACTACAGCCACAATTATTACTACCACTACTACTACTACTACTACTACTACTACTACTACTACTAGTACTACTACAGCTACTATTGGCGCTTTTATTGCTGCTACTGGTACAGTATAGATACTGCTATTACTACAAATACTTATTCTACTATAACTACTACAATCACCAATACTGATACTCATTGCTAATTCTAATGGATAGATACTACTACTACTACTACTACTACTACTGGCATTTCGACTACCTACTGCCATCAATTAATAACAACAAATTTTGCCAAATAATATGCGCTAAATTCTACAAAAAATGTACTGCAACTACATCATTAAATCAAAATACATACATTTATTTTTTTTTATTAGACTGACATAAGAATACTTATGTTAGTGTTACTGGCACAGCTGGTACTATTATTGCTACTACTACAACAACTAGTACTGCTATACTACTGCAAAAACTACGATTATGTCTACTGTAATTACTACTATTACTACTACTACTACTACTACTACTACTACTACTACTAGACATTTCTACTATTTACTACAATGAATAGCTACTACTACTTCCACTACAATAAGGCACAATTAGTCTAATATAATAATACTGATTATTGAAACTAATACTACTCTGGTACTGGAACAACTACTACTAGTACTACTGCTACTACTAATATTTCTACTACTACTGCTGCTTCTACTACTGTTACCACGACTACTATTACAACAATTACTAATACTACTACTACTACTACTGTTATATAGATAGAAAGATAGATACTTTATTGATCCCATAGGAAATTCAAATTTAATATCAAATATTACTGCTACTACTCCTACTATAACTACTACTTCTACCACAGATGGATGGATTCTCACCAGAAGTTAGTGCAGTACTTTTTTGGCAGATAGTAGACCTAAGTCCAGACCTTGTCCTACCCAAACATTGGGCTCCTCATTATAAGTCAGGGCTCATACTTCAGTACATCACCTTCAGAGTGAGTTGGAGTTTGAGATCATGTCTGAACACGTGGCCTTTGTGGAGCTGCTGTAGTACTGGCCTGTTGTCTTTGTCTTTGTGAGCTCTACGCTTCCTCATTAAACCTCTGACTGCGCGCACAAAAGAGAGACTTCAATCAGGAGGAGAGGAGAGGCGGCCATGATACTGCTGTACACATGGGAGGACAGGTCAGTGGCAGTTCAAAGATGGCTGACAGGATGACTGGTGGAGGCGGAGCAGGTAATGAAACATATATCGAAAATTAAGTACCTAACTTGGCGTAACTGCTACTGCCAAGGCTAGGGCGAGAAAGACTGCAATATAACTGGAAACTTTTCTTTTCAAGTCCTACAACTACTACTGCTACTACTAGTACTAATACTACTACTAATAAGTACTACTACCACTACATCTATCCAAATGTGTATTGTGTTTTGTTTTTTTAAAGGTGGTGTATCTGATTTTTACTGTCTTAAAAAGTGGAAAAACATAACCAGTTCATTCTAATCAGTTTGTACATCAAATAAACTTTTTTTTTTTTTTTTTTTTTCAATGAATTTAATAATACTAACTACCAGCATAACAGAACTTTGGAGGTCCTGGAAGAAGACACACATGGGCCCACCTCTAATATTAATGAATATACAGAGGTTCCAATACTGGGCCCCCAAGACCCTGGGACAATGGGCATCTTTGTTCTACCCTGTTGACTCCCCTGACCAGTACTACGACTCCTACTACTAGTCGTAGTACTAGTTTATCACACTTTATGCTTGTGTCTGCTATATATTTATAATCTAAAACACCAGTGAATTATTATGTTATAATTTGAACATTTTAAATCACAGTATTCGTCTAAAACAGGGATCACCTAACTTTTTTTCTCTGGGGGCCACATTATCGCTCCTGACTGTGATGGGGGCAGGGGTCGGGTCGGTTGTATAACAGAATTGTATGACCCTGACCAAAATGACCACCAGCAGACCTCATTGTGTAGTAGAAATGACCAGCCTGTCACAGCCATCCACAAAACTGTATCAACACATAATTCCTGGCACATATTTGTTTATCGTTACTAGTGGTTTGCAAAAGTAGTAAGTACTTCACATTTTGCTTTAATTTGAAATACCACAGATATTCAATTTATTAATTTTTTTCTATCAAAGGTAAGAAATATCAAGGTAAGAAACTGTCAAGGTAAGAAACATCTGGTAATTGACACTGGCAGAGGAGAGTGAAAAATGACAAATTGTAGGTAGGACTGTTGATATTAACAATTGTATTAATAATAATTGTGTGCAGCACTTAATAAAAGTCAGATAAATAGGCCTATAAAATAAATACATAAAAAAAATGAAATCATAATATCGGTAATAGATGAACTTGCCAGCTCTTATGTCTATCCAGGTGAGCAAAGTAATAAAAAAAAATAGGCCATCACAACTTTTCAGGATTGCCTCATAGGGCCTGTTCAAGTGGTGTGGGGCATAGGGGCTTTGGGGCCGGTCAAAGGGGCGTGGCGGGTTAGTTTGATGATTCCAGATCTAAAATGACTTCATAAAAGAACCAAATCCACTGACTTCAGCGTTAGAAAAAAGCGGTACCCAATGGGAACTGGCGTCG